ATATTATAACCAGCCCAACTTTTGATAAACCGATCATGATAAAAGTAAATCTATTTTTGGGTGTATCCTATAATTAGGTTAAAAGTTCATTTTTAGTGCATAAATGGTGAATGGACGGCTCTTCTATTACCTTGTGTAGAAGAACATGAACGTTCAAAAATTGAGAATAAATCATTAAAAGGGAATAAAAATATGGATGAATGTTTTGCTTTAAACCTTCCAAAAGGAAAGGAATTGCATTTTAATTTTAATTATTCTCTTGCGAGAAATGATCAACAATTAAAACAATTTGGGAATATTTTGAATAAGTCTGGTATTAGATTCCCGGCCAGTACTTCTCTTCTGGTTTGTAAATTAATTGGATACATCCTCGATTTTACGTACACCCTTGGGGTTGAAATAGAGCTCCATTTTATGGAAGAGGTTTCGTGTTTAACAGACCCGACTTCCAGTTAACGGGAGACTCAGGTTCGATACCTGCACCAGGGCTGTGTGTCATGGCGTTTTGCGTTTGGCGTCCATTTTTGGCCGATTTTTGGCGTTTGGCGTGATTTTCGTTTTTTGGCGCGACACGCGAAAATTTTGGCATTGTTGGTGGTCTGCTTTAGTGCAGTTCTTGTTAGCACTTAAACAAAGGGCACGCCCTGAGTGAAGAGACAATCGTTGCTGACTTAATTCCATCAAAAAATTGTACCCAAATATTGAGGGTGGGCGTAAAATAGAGAGGCCAGACTAATAGAAATATTTTAATTTTTAAAGGTAAAATGTACAAACCCTCTCAATCAACTACGTTTAGACCATTTTGAATTGTGGAAGTGTAAACAAGGCAAATGGCAAGTCTACAATCGAATTGAATGCCCCAATGGTCTATTGAAAATCCCAAAATTTACCCCTATAATTTTCAGTTAACCTATCAACTAATTGCCAATTCAAATTTACCCCTCCACGAGGCTCTCTGAATTTCCCTCGAGACGTTGCGCGATTAAATGTTTTTCACGAACAGAGTCGCCAATTTGTTCTTTTCAATCAGAATTTCCCTAATGGTTCTAAGCTCCTTTTTTCTTGTGCAAATTATTCAATGGATTTATTGAGAGGACCTAGCTTTGTAAAGACTATTTTTTAAGTTAAAATTTGAAGTTGTTATTTAGAGTGTTTGCCGTAATGGGGAATGGCTTCCTCCACCTCCTTATTGTCAAAGATTAGACAGAACTAAGGCTAATGACCAACAGCCGCCGCCAATCGAATTTCAGGTTAACGCTTGGATTGGTCTTAAAATAAAGATGGACCTCATTATAAGATACATCCTATACTAAATACGCTCGATACTGGAGACATTAATGTTAGATAAAAGCAGAGACCGGACCGAGACGAGATCTCGCTCGGAAATCTCGGTTATCGAGTTCGAGAATTTTTCTAGACCTCGATCCTCGTACGACACTCCAGCCCAGTCTCAGATAAATGTATGTTGATCATTGAGTTGGTTGTTGTCCCAACAATTCTCTCCAACAGCCCCATCAACTTTATTCCTTTGATAAACTTCTGTTTGTGTCCTTGTCTGCTTCAATAAATTTAGACAAAACATTGGTGGATCTAGACATAACCCTTATTCAAGATAATACATTAAAAGCAGAGGTGGGTCGGAATTCCGATTTCGGCTCTTCTTATTTCCGACACCTCTGACTGTTCCAACCCACCTCTGATTATAAGGCACAATTTATCTGCCCTACGGGTGTATCTATCAGGGGTGGGTTTAATCTCGTATCTCGTGACTCGTATTTTGTGGGACTAGGCACATCCCTGGTATCTATGTATAAATGAGGTCTGTCTCTATTTTAAAGACAGAATCCACTTTTAAGGTTTCTGGCCAATGGAGTATTTCACCAACCGGTGTTCTTCTAGTCAGTCGGTATTATAGACTTCTATTTAATTTCTTTATAAACAAGCTCTTCTACGGTCCAACTTTTCTGTTTTTATCAAATGGACAGTGGAAAGCCACGATGGGAAAGTTTCTCAAGTTATCGAAGTTATCCCCAAGTATATATAGATATTCAAAATTAACATGTGTTTGTTCTTTAGGAATGGATTAAAGAAGTGAATCAGCAAAGATTTGTAAACTTCAGCGTCCTCCAAGTACATTTTTAGTATATATTGAGTTCAACATTTTCAAATTGCCGGGTCGTCCGGGGTTTTCTTTTAATCAGACACGGACCGGATTTTCCAGGCCAAGATTTCGAAACCCCGGAAAAACCGGATTATCAATATGGGATTAATTCAAAAGGTCGAACCCCAGAAGGTCAACACCCTAGTGGTCAACTGACCCAGAAGATCAACTCCAAATATTTGGGCAGATAAAGATGGATTAGTGCAGATTATGATGGATTTGGTGGGATTAAGGAGTCCCAAATATCCGCCCAAATATCTGAAGTTGACCTCCAGAGTCAGCTGACCACTGGGGTGTTGACCTTCTGAGTTTCGACCTTCTTGGGTGGACCTATCAAAATATCAGCTTTCCTGGCTATTTGGTCCCGGCCCAGTGTCGAACTCTAGTAATCATAAAGGCTTATCTAATTTATATTTTAGTTGTCTATTTTAATTGCACAACCTGAAGATAGTGGTCCATTTCATTGTATTCTACCAAATAATAGACGTAATAGTTTACACCTCCAAATTAGAGGTGTGTCCATTCAAAGTTTCAATAAATCTTTTAAAATTCCTCAGATGAGTATTGTCAACCCATAGCCAATAGTTCCCCAACCTTAAATATTCATTACTCGTCAACTGCTGGCCCTCATCTCACAAACAAATCGCATCTATTTTTGGGCACAGTTGCACAGTTTTCTTGCTCTTCGGGATATCAAATTCTCAATCAACGCCCTCTGGTTGGATAAAGACACCTTACTTGGGAATACATCCTTAGGGTTAAGAATTGATGTAAAATATCCATTAGGAACCAAGACCGAAAATTTTCCAAGACCAAGACTGCACCCCAGGATTCGAGACCAAAACCGGAAAAACCTTATGACCTTAAAAACCTTAGTATTGGCAGCTCTAGTACTCATTAGAGATCGGTCTGAATCTGGATCTAGTCTGGATTTTTCCTGGATCTAGAATCCAGATCCAGGATTTTTTGAAAATACCGATCTCCAGTATCCATTACTGGAGGTATTACTTAATTTTTTCCTCACATCCCTTGACCAACCCAATTATACATAGAGTCCTAAAATGTATTAGGTATATTTACACGTGGGATCCGAGAACATTTTGAAAATAAATTTTAATTTAAGATTTGTTTGGAAGGCGGCCATTGGTCTCAGCTAGCTCCAACATGCACTCGTTAGTTCCTTTCCAAATAATTATCTAGAACAGGAAAGATGCATTCCTTCTTTTAAGACATTCAATGCCCTCCGATTATTCTCCACCATCCTCAATTACATTGTCAAGTAAGCAGTTATAGACCTGGGGGATCAGCACATTGTAGTTGTAATCCGACACATGAATTAATTGGAAGGGCTACCTTTAAATGCGGTTTAGACGGCCTTTGGGAGGAAGAGTTGCCTAAATGTAGAGGTATAATTGCTGTAGGGAGACAATTACCTTATTATTCAAAGAAATTAAATGTTCAATGCCTTCATTACCTCCACCTATTTTTGTTAAAACCCACGTTCCATCGTTCTCATCGACTTCTGAGATGAATCCTATCACGTTTAGTGTTGGGCATTTATTGTTGCTTCAATGTCCACAGTCTTATTTGTTAACTGGTTCGTTAATATTTTAATTGACACTGGTAAGGGAGAGGGGAGACTAATTGGTTAGTATTTAAAGAATCTGCTAGGCGAGGTTTAAGATCTATTAAAAGAGAAGGTAAGAGCATCATTGTGGTGGCTCCGTCGGTAGAGCAGCGCCTTACTTGAGGAGCGAAAGCGCCTAGCAATAACTGCTAAGAGGCGATGGAGGCCTGTTCCTGGACTCTGGGTTTGATTTATTGACTGGGCCGGATCCTGGGCCTGAAGTCCAGGAAAACCCCAGGAATGTAAAAAATGCCTGGGCCTGGACTCTGGGTACAGGAAAACCCCAGGCCTTTGTCCAAACCCAGTTCGATCTCTAATGCCTACTCGATACTATGTATACAGCGCCTAGCAATCTCTATGTAAAAATTAAGGGTCTGATTTTTTACTCTGTCAACCAGATGGATATTGGAGTGAATTGAGGTATTCTAATTCTTCCTGACTTTTAATATCCCCAAATTAACTTAGAACACGATGCGAGCAAATTTGTCGTTTCCCTGGACAAATTAAACACGGAAATACAATCCACCCTCCAAAGGATCATTATTTGGTGAGGCTTAAATGAATTTAAATAAAAATTGAAAATAAAAAGGTTGGCGAACGGATATTTTATTATTGCGATAAAGGATATAATCTCAACAATGAAAACATTCTTGAATGCAGAAATGAAAGTATTTGGTCAAAATCAAAACCTTTTTGTAAAAAAGATTAAATATTTATTGATTAAATTCTTTTATTTTTTTAATAATTTGTGTACTTATTAGAGACCGGAATTTTTGAAAAGCCTGGACCTGTTCCTGGGTTTGATTTATTGACCTGGGCTGGTGGATCCTGAGCCTGTAGTCCAGGAGTAACCCTGGAAGGTCGGAAAATGCCTGGGCCTGGACTCTGAGTACAGGAAAACCCCAGGCCTTGGTCCAGACCCAGACCGATCTCTAGTACTCATCATTCGACAATTTTTAAGAGTAAAGGGCCAAGTTGATAGGTTTATGGGATGTTGCCGGGTTTTTTAATTGTCGGTTTGGTAAAATTCCGTAATACATCTCGGGAAATGATTCATACAAACGATAAGTTATTCAAAAGAGCTTAAATTTAAAAGCCTAATCGGGTCCTAGAAAAGTTCAAAAATATAAATAAAATACTCAAAAACCCTCTCAATTTTACCACCTCAAAGAAAAACAAAAAAAAATTAAATTTAAACAACCAAAAATTAATTTATCCAGTAGCCTCTTCTTCCCTCTTCTTGTACAATGCCGCTCTAGGATTATATCTTTTAATATAAAACCAACTTCCAGGCTGCATTTTGTATTCAAGTCGAAACATTGCAGAATCATCATCCCAATGTCTATTAAAACGTTTATAGCCAGAACGGTCAAATTCGGGAATTGTTCGGTCAGGGAACAGTCCAGACCAATGCGCTTCCATTACACAACGTTCTAAGCGTTGTTGTTGTTCAGAACATAAACCTGAATAGAAAAAATATTTTTAAAAGGAAATTTTATGAAAAATGTTGGGGATAATCAAGAGAAAATAAAAGTTTTAAAATTTGCAGACAAAAGGTTAAAGTTGCGGACAATTTTTAAAATTGAGGGAAAATTGCGGTTAATTATCTCTATAATATTTAAAAACGATCACAAAATTTTTGGAATGTCTCAAGTAATTAAACTTAGTTTTTTAAAAAAAAATGAAGGAGATTAGCAAAATTGGGCAAAATCGATTTTGCCGGACCCGGATCCGGATTTGAAACTTGAGCCGGACCGGATCCAGCCGGATTTTTCCGGATAAATCCGGTCCGGTTTTAATCCGGAAATTTCAAAAAAAACCCGGATTTGGGACCCGGACTCCGGAAAAATCCGGCCGGATCCGGTCCGGCGCCGGGCACTAGACAAAATTTAACTGATATATGAAAGTTTCTAACCCTTAAAATTTGCTGTTTACATAAAAATGGGAAGAAGATGAAAAGCTCGCGACTGGAATATTTTGTGTCCCAGAACTATAGGCAACTTTTATATGAGCATAACATTAGAAAAGTTGTAACCTAAATTTTCTATTTCTTATTTCTAAACTCGTTTTTAATGAGAAAACTCTCAATAAAAATTCAATCAGAAAAAAAAACAATTAAAAAAACTTGCAAACCTGTCAACTCCCTTGGAAGAACAGTCCCATCCAACCTCATAAATTGCTCCAAAATGAGAACATCTTGGTAGGAAATTTTGACAGAAATTTTGCACAAAGGACAATTACACGTCTGAACATCCTAAAATTTGTTTTTAAAAAATTTAAAAATAATTTTACAAAAAATACTGATTGACAAACAGTGGGAAGTTTGGAAGGTCCAAATTTTGAAGATTTTTGTGTTTCAGGCAAAGATTC